GGTGGCCAATGCAAAAGAATCCATTGAGGAGAGTTTAAAAAAGAAATCACGTTACAAAGTGTGGACGGGCTAGAGAAAACCAACAAAGGGCATGATGTACCTTGGGGCTGGCAGTGGTAGAGGGCTGTTATCTCCAAGGCCTGAAGGAGCCACAGGAGAGGGTGGGAGCCCTAGCTGTAGGAGAAGCCACTCTCAAAGGCATCTTTGCCCCTGGAGAGAGGCAGTGACTCAGCTGGCAGGGAACAAGCAGAAAAAATAAATAACTTGTCTCTCCTCCTGCCCTCTGATTTTCCATTCTTCCTCCCATTGGCTGAACATAACCAGAAGCCAGTGTACAGGGCAGCCAGGTTGATTCCATCCATTACAACTGCCTTTCTGGCCACAGCACTGGGTGAAGGGTGAAGAGAGAATGTGGAGGGCAATGGATCACAGCCAGTACAGGAGGTAACACTCTGAAATCTAGTGTATCTGAAAGTGTCTTTATTCAACACTGCCTCTAGAATAATAGTTGGGCTGGTATAGAATTCTGGGTTGGTACTTTTTTTTTCCTCAGAATTTTGGAGGCAATGTTCCATGGTCTCTCCTGGCTTCCAGCATTGTTGTTGAGAACTCTCTGCCATTCTAATTCCTGATTCTTTTTCATGTGATTTGGTTTTCCTCTCTGTGGATCTTGCCTTTTTCTCTGGGGTTCTGCAGTTTCCAGCTAGTATGCTTTGGTGTTGGGTGATGTTCTATCATCATACTATAGAGTTTCTGGAGTAGGTCTTGGCCAGGTATACTTGGTCCTGAAAATACAGGAACTATTTGTATAGATGTCTACTGTCCTGTGTCATTACGTGGTTGCAGTAAAACTGCTCATATATAACATTTGGTCATTATTATGCACTTGTGGGCAATGTAGCAAGATTGCAATAGCAGTGAGTTGCACTGTGATTCAGAAATTGCTAGCACAGACAATTCTGCCTCCTCCCAGAATCTGTATCACTTAATAGTCAAGGAAAGTTTTATTGTGAAATGGGTGAGGGGGAGGGATATGGGAGGGAAGAAGTTTGGTAGAGCTAGGGGGCACAGGTTGTCTTGAGAAAAATGATAGGTTGGGATGACATAAAGTCTCTTCCATTAGGCTCCTTGAGTCTCTGTGTTAGAGAGAGGTTGAAAAGTTGGCCAAGTTGTCTTTAAGAACAAATTTGTGAGACCACACATAAGCAGGGCTAATTTGGGGCTCAAATGTGTGATATAGAATTGGAGAGGGGTCATTCTCTCTGTTTCTTTTCTTTTTTCTTTTCCTTTTTTCTTTTTTGAGTTGGAGTCTCACTCTGTTGCCCAGGCTGGAGAGCAGTGGCATGCTCACGGTCATCCCATTGTCGACCTCCTGGGTTCTGGCAATCCTTCCGAAGCCTCAGCCTTCCAGAACTATAGGTGCGTGCTACCATGCCCAGCTAATTTTTGATTTATTGTAGAGACGGGATCTCTCCAAGTTGCCTGAGCTGGTCGCGAACCCAAAGACTCAGGCAATCCATTTGCCTCGGCCTCCCAAAGTGCTGGGATTACAGGCTGAGCCACTGTGCCGAGCCTGTTTCATTTTTTTTTTTAACCCACCCACCCACAAGGACTCTCCATCTTTGTAAGGGACCAGTGACCTCTGACCACCTGTCGTCTCCAGTAGTACTGGTGCTATAAGCATTAGGAAACAGTGTCACTGTTAAAGACCCTGGCTTTCTCACTGTGGGCACCATCAGCAATGGCAAATGGAGGCCCCTCCAAGATTGTTAGGTTGTGGAAATGAGCATATGGGAATTGGAGCAGGAGAGGAGAGGCATGTAGCTCAACCCCAGGGCTCACAGAGTTGACTCATGTAGCAGACTTTTGTTGTTGTTGTTGTTGTTGTTGTTTTGAGAAGGAGTCTCACTCTGTCACCCAGGCTGAAGTGCAGTGGCATGCTTACAGCCACAGCAGCCTTGACCTACTGGGATCAGGTGATCCTTCCATTTCAGCCTTCTAAGTAACTGGAACCACAGACATGTGTCACCACACCTGACTAATTTTTTGATTTACTGTAGAGATGAAATCTTGCCAATTTGCCCAGGTTGGTCTCAAACCCCTGGGCTCAGGCAATTCTCTCACCTCGGCCTCCCAAAGTGCTGGGATTACAGGCTTGAGCCACCACGCCCGGCAAGTTATCCAGATTTTTAAGTGAAGAAGTCATTTTATGATTATTACTCTGAATAGGTAAGGTGACTGACCAGTGGATCAGAAACTGTTTTAGATTAACATATGACAAAAGTTGAGGTTTGTTCACTTAGTTAGAAAATACACTAATGAAAATTTCCTGTGGCAATAGTCCAAAATTCACTATGCCACCTTTTCAGTAGCATTCTGGGTATTTTATGATAGTGGTTACTCTAATATAACACTTTTAGAATCAAGTTCCTATTTTATTCTCTTATTTATGTGAGTTACAAAATACTCTGAATTGAAGACTGAGAAGGAAAAGCATCTGAAAGTTGAGCATAAACTGTGGAGTCAGGACTCTTCAATTCATTCCAATTTTCTGAAATCCATAGATACAAGGCAACCACACTATGTGTAGTAGCCACTGAGATGGATGGAAAACTCTATAACTAATGTGAAACAGTTTTATAATAAGATAACACAGTACATAATGAAATACAGTGAGCATTTTTGCAAGAATTGTCAAGGCAAAATTCAAGAGTCCAGGAAAAAAATACGTTTACTTGGGAAGAAGAGTTTGCTTTGCCCAGGTCCTCACACCCTGGGATATGTGTTCACTTTCCTCTGCTAACAGTAATGAAAATAAAGAGAGCAAATACTTGATGTACTAGTTAGGATAGGCTAGGTTATGCTGTGGTAAACAAAACTCAGTGACAACACAAAGAACCCTTATTTCTTGCTTATGCTACGTGTTCTCTATGGGCTGGCAGAGGGCTCTTGCCCATAGTAATCCAGACTAATAGAGCAGCCATCATCTTGAATGTTGATGCCATGCCAGAGGGAAAGAGAATCAGAAGAGTCTCAAAGCAACAAATAAATGTTTCAGGCACATCCTTTCTGCTCAAACTCATTGGCCATTCCTAACCATATGAGGGCCAGGAAATAAAATCCTACCATGTACTCAGAAGGCAAAAAGCCAAGAATAATTAGTGAAGAGCATTAATTGTCTCTCATTCACTATGTGCCAAGAACTGTTCTAAATATATCACAGGCATTATCTCAGCTAAGCCTTGAAACAATCCTGTGAAATAGGAACTGTTAATATCTTCATCATTCCCATTGTATAGATGAAATCACTGAGGCATAAAGATGTTAAGGAATCTGCTCAAAGTCACACAAGTAGTGAAGCTGAGGATTTAAACTCAAACATTCTGACCCCACAGTCTTGCTTAACCACAAGGTTATGCAATCTCTCACTAGATGGAATATTTGAGAACCATGGCCACAGGCAATGGGAGAGCCACTAAAGGATTTTTAAGCAGGAGTGTGATTCGATCAGATTTGCCATATAAAAGCTCTCTTTAAAGAGCAGTGTGAAGGATTACCTTCACTACATTTAGACTAAGGCAGGAAAGCTATTTGCAGAGTAAAGGGATGAAGATGAGAAGGGCTTAAACAAAGGCACCAATCACCACAATTTACTTTTTTTTTTTTTTTTAAGAGCATTGAGATGGAGGGGAGAGAGAGGAGGGGAAGAAGTGGGTTTTCACTGTTTCTCAGGCTAGAGTGCAGTGGCACTTCTGGCCTCAGCCTCCTGAGTAGCTGAGATTACATTTATGTGCCACTGTACCTGGTGCCTGGGTCATCTTGACCCTCTGTTTCTTTTTTTTTTCTGAAAAGGGAAAACAAGGTGAACTTGGGTGTTTATGAAAGTCAAGGTCACCTAGGTATAGCTAGAAAGCAAGGAGTTTGGACACAATTAAATTGTTCTGATTAATAAAGTAATATAATGTTTGTAGTTTTCTTCTGATGAGATGAACATTTTGAGGGGAGCCTGATCTTGGGAGAAAGTAAAGAGATAGAGGAGAGAGTTTCACTAGAGATAAGATAGCTCTGAGCATCTGGTCTTACCATTTCCCCTGATCGATTATTTCCATGGCAGCCAGAGTGATGTTTTAAAACCACAAATTTGATCCTGTTGCTCCCCTCTCTCCCAGTATAGTGCCTAATACTTAGAGGTTTCTCAGTAACAATTTGCTCAGTGAATGAATGAATGAATGAAAACACAGGTCAGATAACAGGCGGATCCCTAAAGAAAAGAACAGTCACTGAGAAATTCAGAGCAAGAATGACTTTGGACAATAATGTCTAATAATCATTTTTAAGTAGTTGCCTGTTCTGTGCTGTGCTGCAATTACACTCCCCTCCCCAACCGTCAATAAAAGTCGGCTACATAAAACACATTGTCTTGTGAGGATTTAAGAAATGAAAGAAGAAACAAACTGTCTGGGCACTAGGTCAAACAATATTCAAAAATGGCCGTAGGTACAAGAGGAAAGTTAGTGAACATCCGCGGAAGCCGGCATTCCAAGTGAGAGTCCCAGAATCCTCTGAAAATTTGGGGAGGGTGTGGTGTTCCTTTATCCTGGGTTAGAGGCTTGGGCCCTTCAATTTAGCCGTTGAAGGAAAAAGTAAGCTAGAGGACTTTGGGGTATCCACAACCCTCTGGTTACATAAGGATGGTCAGTACTTAACTCACAGAGCTGTTGTGAAGATTATATTGAGATAACTCATGTAAAGCGCTTAGCACAGTGCCTGGCGCATGGTAAGAGCTCAGTAAATGTTAGTCGTCATTTCTTTCACTTCCATCCCTCCGCTCCCTTTCTGCCAGGCTCCATTCATTCTTTTCCAAGGACACGCAGGGGGCGTGCCCACCCTTCCCTCCGCCCCCGTCCCAAGTCCCGCCCCCTTCTCGCCCTGATTGGCTCCCGAGAGGCAGAGCGGAGGGAAGAGCCCAGTGCGGCGCGGTGGGGGCGGGACGCATGCGCGGGCTGGGCTGGGTGGAGGTGGAGAGGAAGAGCTGCCGGAAGTAGGCGGCAGAGGTGTTGGCCGAGCCCTCGGCAACTGCCAGGGAAGCCGAGGCTCGGGGCGCAGGACCAGCACACGGGGAGGCCGAGGAGTCATTTCTGCGTCTGGCACCCAGGAGACCCGTGGGTTCCCTTTACCTGGGCTGAGGGTCCCAGGTCCAGCAGCCTCCCCTGGACTTGGGCCTCTCCCTAAACCCGCCAGGGGGCGCCGCGCTGGGGGGCTGTGGAGTGGGGGGCGGACGCCGCTGACCGGAGAAGGGGCACCGGGCGAAGCGGGAGGAGAGGGCTCTCCCCCGCTCAGGTGGTGCCCCTGGGCGGGGGACCGGGAGTCTTCACCCCCGGACTGAGGCAGGGACTTTTGGGGGCGAGGAGGGCGCGTCGTCCTCTGCCCCCGCCGGCACCCTGGCCATGACGGGCAAGTCGGTGAAGGACGTGGATCGCTACCAGGCGGTCCTGGCCAACCTGCTGCTGGAGGAGGATAACAAGTTTTGTGCGGACTGCCAGTCTAAAGGTAAGAGCATCCTTCCCGGCGGGCGAGCGGTCCAGCCGCCGGGCCGCGCCGTGGGGGTGGGCTGTGTGGGCTTAGGCCGCCCAAGTCGTCTTTAAATGGTAACGCGTGCTGTTCTCGCTCGTGAGCCTGCTAGGTTTTCTGCAGCATAGGGACTGGTGTGGGGAGAGGTTGCGGGGGCGAGTGTGTGTGTGTGTATCGGTGGGGAGAGGCGATGGTGGCGGTGGAGTTGGCCTGGTGTGTTCAGGTGAGAATGTCTGTATTTTAGGGCTCTGAGTGAGTTCTGGGCGGGCTGTCCAGAACTCGGCTCGTAGCCTTTCACTTTGCAAAGCTGGGGATGAACTGCAGTGCTTGTGTGTGTGTGCGTGTGTGTGTGACAGAGAGAGAGAGGAAAGGAGGAGGAGGAGGAAGAGGAGGAAGAAGAAGGAGGTGAGATTGGCGGAAAGCAAAAATGCTGAAATGACTTTTAAGGTGGTGATTGTTGCTGCCTGATTTTTGGTTAGCAACTCGTTCTGTCATTTTGCAGCCTTGCTGAGATCTGTCAGAGTGCTTAGGCGGCTTTCTTCTTCCTGGATGTGTGCAGTGGGAGACTGCCTCATGCAGTGACACAGTGCGGATTTCTAGACAGCCTAGCCCTGCCGAGTGGAGTGCGTTGGAGGCCTAGTGTATGTGTGGTGGCAGAAACTAGACGATTTTGGCTGTAGTGCAGGATCCGCTTAATCAGTGGAGAGAGAAAGAAGCAACGAATTCGATGAATTCGTTGATTCCATGGTGATTACACTTCTCAAGGCGAAATATTATTGTAAATTGGCAGAACCGTTTAGTCTTTGTTTTGTGTGCTCTCAAAGATTCATGATTTATACAATTAAAAGTCAATAGACTAGGAAGTCTTGGTTATTAATGAAATGCTGGCATTTGACACTTATGATACAAGCTTCTATACATATTTTGTTTTCTTATTTTTAAAAATTCTTTGTTAGATAATTGGAGGAGTTGGGAAAATTCTTTTCCTTTTGGTTGGGGAGAAACAGTTAATTTCCAGGGCCATTATTCATTGACTTTTGTTTACAATGCAATGGATTTGCCAGGGTTGTTTGCCATATAGCATATTGGGCATGTACTATAAAACAAATATTTAAGTGTATTTGTATGTATCTATTTTGAGAAAGGAAGTACATGCTTAATCAATGCTGTCACTGAATTCTTTTTTATTTTTGAAAAATGAGATTATATAAGGAGAACAGAGGAATAATATGTAGACATCCAGTAGTGTATTTTAGTGACCTCTACCAATGGATACATGGAATGTGCGGTTAGGAAAGCGGGCCCTCAGACTTCTTTCCTGAATTTTTGCATTAGCAGCAATTCATTTTAAAATGTATTTTAGCATCAATTTATATTGATAGGTTAATTTCTTATAGGTTGAATCTTGTTAGATCTTGTGCTAGATCTACTGGAATATTTGGTTTAAATTTTAGGAGTGTATCTTAGCTTTCTGTCCTCAGTTGACAGATTTTGAGTCACAGTGAAGCAACCCACTGGAATGAGCGTTGCTACATTTGGGGAGTCAGATGCCATTTTGATGATTAGTACTACTCCCCCATTTCTCATATTACCCTTATACTTACTCATATTCCAGTGACATATGGCATATGGAAGAGAGAAGTTGATTTACTCACTACTTCCTCCAAATTCTCCATTGCTTTTTATGAATAGCTTTACTAGGAATCAAGTAATGAAACACTGGTTAATTCTAAATAAGAACTAGTAACCGCTGGCTTGTAGACTTTAACTGCTGTTGATGGTAAAGTCTTGAATGCTGAAACAGGTTTTCAAAAGTTAGTCTCGGTGGCTCAGCCTGTAATCCCAGCGCTTTGGGAGGCCGAGGTGAGTGGATTGTCTGTGCCCACGGGTTCGAGACCTGCCTGGGCAACTTGGCGAGACTTTATCTCTACAATAAATCAAAAATTAACCGGGTGTGGTAGCGCGCGCCAGTGGTTCCAGATACTTGGAAAGCTGAGGCGGAAGGATCGCCAGAAGCCAGCAGGTCGAGGCTGCGGTGGCCAGGAGCGGCCACTGCACTCCAACTCCAACTCAAAACAAAACAAAAAAAACACAAAAGTTAGTTTCACATTTTGCTGTGGTGGCTTCAGTGACTTGGCCACTGTGTTAAAATTGAGATAACAATGTGTCAGTTATCCTTCAGTTATGTTAAGTAGGCATTTGTTGAGGCCTCACATCCAAGTTGTGAATTATCTAGCCTATTTTACCCTTTCATTTCCTCTAAATCATTTTCCTCCTCCTGTTCTCTAATTTTGGTTGCTGTAACGATTGTTTGGGCAACTACCTGATGATGGAAGGAAAAGACATCTGCATCAATAGATTGTTACCTGTTAGCTCTGTTAAAAACTACATTCTGTTGGAGGAGGAGTTTTAAAACTGTTGGTTAAAATGAGATTTAGGTTTGAGTTTATTTAACTGTATTCCGTGTCTTTTCTTTAAAAATTGAGATCTAACTGTATAGGATATGGTGAGTGATCGCTCATTTATTAATATTGAATCAGATATATATGAGTAGCTTAGACTACAGAGTCTATGAGCAGGTATTTTTGCTATGTTCTAAAATAACTCTTTGGCACTGACTCTTATTTTTAAAATCTTATGCTTATTTAGGGATGATATTTCTTTACTAATTGACTCTTAAGATATGCAGGGGTTTTTTTTGTTTGTTTTTTTGAGTTGCAGTCTCACTCTGTTAGCCAAGCTGGAGTGCTGCAGCAGCTCAAGCAAGTTCACCGCAGCCTCAAACTTCCTGGGGTCTGGTGATTTTCTTCCACTTCAGCTCCCACCCCTTCCCCCCCCCCC